CACAACATCTCCGCTTACCCAGCATATCATACTATCCATGACACGTTCTACTATGTCAAGACGTTTGTGGATCCACAGTTTTCAACCCACTTGGCTATCGCACGAGTATGGGTCAGTACTGCATTCCTATTGGCTGAGACCCCTGTGCTGCCAATCAACTGCTCGGACTACGCTGCTGCCCTTAAGAAAGGCTTTCGTGACATAAATACCAAATATGGAAAAACTCTTGAACAAAAAGGAATTTCTCTTGGTAAGTAGGTACATTGTGATTCCTGTTATGGTTTTTATTTTTGCTGACGAGTAGGAAGACTAATTTGTATCTGTATATTTTTCACCTCCATTTCAACAATTACATCCTTTTGAATAATTACAACAAAAAAGTAAAGAAAATGGAGAAGGGCAGAGCATAACTAGCTAAGAAAGGGAAGAGGAGCCACACCTTAAACAACATATTTATAAATAAACATGATCAAAGGAAGACATTAATGATACAAGAGAAAAATGATACAAGAAAAGTGCTCTTTTGAAACGTTTTATAGTGCAGGGCTCGACACTAACGGTAGCTGACTAGCCACAGACCAGTAGAAATTCAGTTTTGGCTTGTGGTTTTCAATTTCCACCAGCCAGTTTGGCTAGTAAACAGACTGAAATTGTCGTAACATCTAAAAACGTCTAAGATGTCACTAGCCACTTGGCTAGTAAGTTGAAAAGTTAGTGTCGAGCCCTGCTAGTAGGCTTCTCCCGTATAGATACAGGAATATCATTTCAATATTAGCATCCTATAACTGCTGGACAGAATTTCCTTATATATATTCTAATAGGGTTAGTGTGTCTAATTTGAGGTGCGTCAAACAAATTCTAAACGTATAATAGTACTGCATCGACGAAAATATCCTTCGCAATGGAAACCGGACACTAATAAAGCGTAAAAATTAAACCATGCTTATCATAAAGGCCGATCAAAGCAAAGGTGAATTTTAAAAGAAGCCAATGAGAGCCTAGAATGAAAACATGGAAAGCGCGTTAAGCGCGGGAAACACAAGTGACCGGGGCGGGATTTGTTCTAGCTTTATATGGGTTGAGAAAGCAGGGCATATATTCTATTCAATTCCTACACAATGGCCAAGCACTTAACTGAAAATATCAATAACTTCCAGTTCCTCGCTTTAGTTCGAGTCTTCGAAAGGGTTCTTCTTCAGTCCACTTTCGCACGGCGCAATTTTGAGAAAACGGGCCAGAAATTTTGTCGGTCTCTTAAGAGATTCTGAGAACTTCCATCGCTGAAATTTTCCTTAAGTTGAACTCTGTTATTCGTTTCAGAATACTTGGAGAAAGCTGTCAAGGAGTTTGAAAAAGGAGCTGAAAAAATGCAGTCACTTATCTCCAATGTAGACCTCAATAAGTGAGTAAAAAACGCCATTGCTTTTCTTTCGACTGAATAGTGGAGAAATAAATATCCTTGCCAGGTCTCAACACTAAAGGTAGCCAACTAGCCACAGACTAGTAGAAATTCAGTTTTGGCAAGTGGTTTTCGATTTCCACCAGCCAGTTTCGGGCGAGTAAACATTCTGAAATTGTCCTGAGATTTAAATTGTGACCAGCGATTGGGCTAGTAAGTTCAAAGTTAGTGTCGAGCCCTGCTTGCCATGAATGTAAGGAAAGACCGCAGATTTAGGCAACACAGAAAGCCGCAAAACTCTTGAACAAAAGTTATACTTTCAAATCGGCACTCTTAATCCCACAGGTATCAGCGAACGCTTTTCATTCCACTAATTTATTCGTGTTTTTCTCATTGCCATGTTCCCACCAATGGCGTACCTCCGCTTCTAATA